AAAAAAAAAAAAAAAAGCTTAGATCAAAAACTGCGCATACATTGGAGCACACCTATAATCTAGCTACTGGGAAGGGTGAGATAGAAGAATTTTGAGTATGAGACTAGCCTGGGCTAGTACAGAAAGGGAGGAAGTACATGATACAACAACATGCAGTTTTTAGAACTTTATCAAACTTTATAAAAGATAAAGGATTGAAAGACACAAGGAGAAACAAAAAGCATCACTTGTTCAGGTGATAGTTTACTGAGTGCGCCTTTTCTAGTTTTCTAAATGTGCTACTAAAATTTTAACAATGGGGCTGTGGGATGTAGCTCAGTGACTGAGCAATGGCTAGCATGAGCAAGGCCCTGGATTTGATCCACAGCACCACCAAAATAATAATATATTTTAATTTAGAAATAATTTCCCTAATATACAATTATGGCCATAGAATAAGAGAAAACATAAAACTATGACAACCTCTGCTGAAAATAATCTCAACTTCTAACTTCTGGATTTTGTTGTTTTGGGCAATATTAAGAGTTTGAACTCAGGGTCTCATGCTTGCTGAGCAAGTGCTCTACCACTTGAGTCACTCCGCCAGCCCTAAAATGGATTTTGAGGAAGGCTACATGGCAGGAACAGTGGTTTTCAAAAGAAAGCTTATGAGGAAGCCCAACACATAAGAGCTATTTTAGTTGCAGTGGAACTAGAGTACACGCAGACCACTTCCCTTGGACTAGAGCCTCATGTCTGTTTTCACCAGGGCTTAAGGCTTTCCTTGGGGATGTCTCATGCCTACAGAAGATCAAACAGTAAAACACAATATGCTGGCTAGCTTTCCAGAATATGGTGACCGTCCTATTATTTCTCCTTTATCTCCAATGTCTTTTCTCCTTTATACCATATCACACTGCTTCCAGGGTGGGTCACAATCCAGCAACAGGGTACAAAATCCATTGCTCACAATCAACATTTTTAGAATATGCAATAGAAAACAGTATATGGTACCTAACAAAAATACTATTTTATGAGCTGGAGAAGTAGCTCAGTGATGGGGTACTTGCCTAGCATATGCAAGGCCCTGATAGCATGAGCACCTTAAAAAAAACTATTTTATGAAAATTTGCTTCAGTTTTGCGTATGAGAGAGTGACTGTACTGTGACTACACTAGGTTAAGATATAAGAAACATTTCTTTTTTTAAGAAAAAAAAAATGTCAAGGCTGGTGTTAAATGAGGCTCAAGCCACCTTCCTCTCACAGCCTCGGCTGGGACTCAGATAAGCAATCTGCACCCTAACTTTCTTAAATGATGGATCACAATTAAGGCAGCATGTGACTCAGCCATCTATTGCAGCTTTAACTTTACTTCCCTTAGTGTTACTTGAGGGTATTTCTTAACCCCTCACCCTTAATGTTAAGTCTCAGATCTTATAAATGTACTTCTTTGCAATATCCTAGACATAATTAATGGTAATTATGTTATGATAATTCCTCCAACAATAAAATGTAAGCTCCATGTGGGCAGGAACAGTAACTTCACTCCTAAACTGGGGATGTAACTGATGCTAAGTAAGTATTTATTCATTACCTGTTTTATCACCCAGACATTTATACCTCTTCTTTCCTTGCTTATCCACCATCTTCCACTCTCCACTAAAACCAACACTTTAAGAAGGTATCAAATCCCTCCAAAATCCTTTGTATAAAACACAAATGATTATTCACGGATCTCTTTCCTCTAATTTCTTCCCAAAAGTCTAAACTTCCTCTCCTATATTTTTGATCCCTTTTATTAATAATTTATATTTACAGTAATCTCTTTCTCTGAAGACCTATAAAGTGTATCCCCAATCATGCCTTTAATTGACTTAAAACATTAAGTTATTCTTGGAATCCCCTCCCCTTGCCACAAATAACAAACATGCATGAATAAAGGAGATTGTGTATGTATCTTCATATCATAAACATATGTTCTGTCCTTTCATTACTCTACCAGAGATTACAAATTTCTCACTAAAATGAAACGTGTCAACTACCAGGAATATAAGAACACGAAGACTATTTTTTGGGGTCAAGAACTTCCTCTTTCTAGTTCATTCTGTCAATCATTTGAGAATGATTAAGAGTTATTTGTACCAGGACATACCTGTCTTTTACATCAACTTCAGAAGGCTAGAAGCTGTACTGTTCAATACTAGCAAGATGTGGTTCTTTAACTGAAATTAAACAAAAGTTAGAAAAAAATTCAGTTCCTCAGTCCATCTTACACACTCACCAGGCATATGTGGTTGGTGGCCACACTAGAGATATGGTTCATTTTCATTGCTGCAGAAGCTCTGCTGACAGCACTAGACTAGGGATTCTCAAATATGCTTACTCTCCTTTCTTAACTCTTAGCAATCTATCTTCTTAAATTTAAAACATTTTAATTCTCACATTTAAAATATCTCAGCACTGTGCATTACTTTTTTCGTTTTGTTTCTTGCATGCTGAGGATCAAACTTAGTGCCTGTGCTTGGTAGGCAAGCACTTTACAGCTGAGCTACATACCAGACCTACACATTCCTTCTTTGCAGCCTGAACTACCTCCAGGGAGAAAAAGGCTTTACTTTATGCTTTACAACTGTCCTTCCTTTTATTTGTGCTGCATGCCCCTTTCTTCTAGTCAGTCATTAGTGGCTAACTTCAAATATTTGGAAAGCTGAGCATGTTGGTGTACTTCTATAACACCAGCTACTCGACAGGCACAGATCGGGAGGACTGAGGTCCAAGGTCAGTTCTGGGCAAAAAGCATGAGACTCTATCTGAAAAATAACTAAAACCAAAAAGGTGTGGTTCAAGTGGTGGAGCGCCTGCCTAGCAAGCACAAGGCTCTGAGTTCAAACCCCAGCGCTGCCAAAACAACAACAAAAAAAACCCTCAAGGGTATTCCATCCATACCTTTTATGATTTTGAGCTTTTAATCATACACCCTGTAATGTTGCTCTTTTCAGACTAAACCTCCGCTGTTGATCAGACTACCTGTGAAAACTTCTCTGTATGCTGATGTTGGCAGTGCCCTTCAGACTTTACCTAGCTCTAACACCTCACAATGCTTTATGCACTGCAGACATTCAACACATCTTAAACATGACTATATAAAGGTCAACCTGATACTCATCTCTTCTTGATGAATGCTTATAAAGGAAATGCCTACATACCATAGGAAAAGGGAACATCTGAAACACCAACAGCAACTAGGAAACAAAGACACCATTTACCAGAAATGATCAAAAAGAAATCACCTTTGCAATGTGTGGAGTGATAACTTTATAATGGGAAAACTCAGTTGAATAAATGAAAATGACATAATATGAACAGTATGTTTCATTGCTTTTGACATGTCTCAACCTAAACTTGGAAGAACCAGATACAGTCGGTCAAGTCGATGGATTTCTTTTTAATACTAAGTCAACTCTTGCACACAAAAATCTTTCCCTAACAAATCTTTGTTTCTAAAATGACAATATATTAGGCAGAAAAAAGCAACCTAATCTTGTAACAAAGAACTATAGGATTTTACTATCTAGATAAGGAAGTTTAAACATAAGAGAATGATTGGCACAGAAAAATTCTGATAATAAGGACTCTAAAACATTACTATATGCAGACAATAAAATCTCCTGGGAATAAGGCACTTCCTACTGCTAAGAAGAAAGGTAAAAGATTTAGGCTAAAGCTTCCTTTAAACCCAATTTTCTCCATAATACAGGGTATATGAAAAAGCAAAATACATGTAATGACAAATGATAACAATAAACTAAGTTATTCCTTCACTAATGATCTAGACTCAAGAACCTTGTCTTCAATTGCCTTCATGACTTTTTTTAACATATCACACAGTATTCTATAAAGAGCAGATGATCAATACACACTGATTAACTGATTTTTGTTAAGGATACTCCTGTTTGGGCTTTACTTTATCTTTTAGAACCAAATTGGATGATATATCCTGTTCTTTTTCATACTCCTTGAAATCACTCTTGGTATATTTTCCACCTATTTATTAAGGAAAATAAAAGAGTTTAGTTAGAAAAATCAGCTAATTACTCAGGAACAATAACTATGTTATAAAAATATAAGTGTTACTGTATAAGTGACATATAGTGAGAGATAGAAAAAGGGAGGAAGAGTAGAAGAGCCACAGTAATTCAATCTCTATTATTATTCTAACTGACACCAAGTATCCATTTTGCTCGATAGCCATAGGCTGCCACCTAATGATATGTGTAAATATTGCACCAAATTTTCAAATAAATTATACACCAATACTGCTGTGGGATTTTTGTTGTTTGTCTATTTTGGTTTTGGTTTTGGTGGTACTGGAGTTTGAACTCAGGGCCTCACGCTTGCCAGGCAGGAACCCTACAATACTGCAGTGTTTAAGCAGAGAACTAAGCCTATGAGAACATTAAGTACAACAGAAAACCAAAGACTTGGGATCTAAGTACGGAAGACGTGAGGCTCTAAAGATCTCTGATCTGTCTCCTGTAGAGCAGCAGACACACAGGAGAAAGCAGAATGTGTAACAATGTTCAACAGAGATGTGAAAGAAAACGATTGACAAGAACACCAAAAAAAAACCATCTCTGCTTTCAAATTCTGACATTTAAGCACCTCTATTTCTCCCAAAGTACCAAGTATGAAATCAACAATCCCTTTGGGAAAGTAAGACTACTGTCACATTCTGACCATCCTACCTGATGAAGACTCAGTTTCCACCCACATCCCAGACCTGCTGGCTGATCTGCCTTCGCTCACACCAGAAAATACTTCATGTGGGAACACTTCCAACAGAAGGGTCCTACTTCATTATTCAAGGAAAGCAAATGGAAGGTACGCAGAGAGATGTTTGGATTGTAAATCCTATATCCTTGACTGAGTTTGAAAGAAGGGGAAACATAAATGGCAGATGGAGGAGATGACAAAGACAAGGTGAAACTACATGGTGAGTCTAGAGACTCTGAAGACACAGTGCCTGGCAGACAATGTTTCATATACTGTTAGACTACTCCAGAGCTAAGAGAACTGGAAGTAGTAAGAAGCATTCACCTTTTATCACTAAAGGACATTTACTATGTGCCTCCCATTAGAAGTTCATTATAGATAGGTGGTTATGGAATGGTAGAAGGGCAACAGATTAAAATGAGAGGTCCCAAATTCAAGTCCTAACTCTAAGCCAGCTGTGGTGATATACACCTGTAACCCTGAGAGACTAAAATAGGACGATTGTGAGTTGGCCAGCCTGGGCTACATAGCAAAACCCTGCCTAATCAAAACAAAAAAATAAACAAATCTTGATTTTAGTGGGGGGCCCAAGGTTAAGATGCTTCAATTCTGTATAATTCATTCTCAAAAATGAATGAACTAAAAATAGACCCCAGTCAAAATGCCTGTCATCAAGAACACAAACAACAAATGGTGGCGAGGATTTGAAAAAAAGGAACCCTTATACACTCTTGGTAGGGATGTAAGTTAGTACAACCACTATGGAAAGCAGTATGGAGGTTCCACAAAAACCTAAAAGTAGAGTTACCTACCATATGATCCAGCAATACCACTCCTGGCACATACAGGATACAATAAAGACACCTGCACACCCATGTTTACTGTACCACTGTTCACAACAGCCAAGCTATGGAAACAGTCCAGATGCCTACAACTACAGAATGGATTCAGAAAATATGGTGTAATGGATTATTATTCAGCCATAAAGATGGATGAAATTATGTTGTTTGTAGGTAAATGGATGGAATTGAAGATCAGCATGTTAAGCAAAGTAAGCCAGGGCCAGAAAGATGAAGGTCACGTTTTATCTCATGTGTGGAAGACAGACCTAAAAGATAACTTGTACACAAATACACAAAAACATGATCACACTCACACACACACAATAATAATGTGACTATTTGAGGGGACTAGGGAGGAAAGAGAGGAAAAGAGAATGATAGAGTGAATAATATTGAAATAATTTGCATCTGTAAATGAAGATAGCATAACAAAATACACTGAAAGCTGTGGAATAATGGGAGGGGAGGGTGAAGGGACAGAGAAAGAGAGAGTAATAGAAGGGGTTAATCTGATTAAAGTACAATATAGTCACATGTGAAACACCACAGTGAAGTCCCTTTGAACAACGAATATATATTTTTAAAAATGCAGGCCAGGAATGTAAAACAGGTCCTGTTCGGGGGTAGGTACCAGCAGTGGGGGGAGGAGGGTGAACCAAGAGAGTGAACATGGTTGATATACTTTATATATCTGTATGAAAATAGAACAGTGAAACTGTTGCAATGATTTTTAAGTAAGGGGGAGGAGATCAGAAAGAATGACGGTGGGGATGAACCTAACCAAAGTACATGGTACACATACAAGGAAATGTCACAATGAAATCCCCTGCACAACTAGTATATGCTAAAACAAATGTAAAAAATAAAATAGAAATAGTGCCAACATTTCACAGAGCTGTTAAAATCATCAAATAACAGTGCAAAGGAAAGTACTGAGCACTATGAATGACATGTAATGCATATCCAGTTTTTAAAATGTGAGTCATTAATATATTTTTTATAAAATTATCTCAGAATTAACTAATATTAACAATAAACTATATTTATGATGGCACAGGTGAAACCTGTCTCCCCTAGGTGACATTTTATTTTGGGGAAAAAAAAATGAAGACATTCACTTAAAAGTTTTCTTGTGCAAGGCTCTGGGTTTAATCCCTAGAACCAAGCCAAACACAACAAAAAAGTGACCTTGTAAATCCACTGAGTTGAAATAAGGAACTAAGACCGTAGTACCATTTCTTCAATGGGTGAGGGAGTCCGGAGAATTGAAAGATGAAAACTCTAATTAGATGTAGGGTCTGTCTAAATTAACAGATTGTGTGCCTGGGCAAATCATGTCACAAGATCATGCCTTAACCTCATCTCAATGTGCAATGACAGTTGTCATATTTATCTCATACATTTGAAACAAGTAATAAAAGTGATAAAAGTAAACGAACTCTGGGAAAAACTGCCCACTTAAGAGCCACTTACTACTGGCCGGCCAGAAGTGCATCACTACTTCCTGGACGTGCTTGTGAGGTTCTTTCAACCGCAACATTGTAAGTACAACATGTGACAAATACACCAATTCAGTTCTCACTAATCACTCAAAAAGGCACTGGCAAACATTCATGTGTTCTAGTAACAAAGAAGGTTCAGGAAGCTGACAGTGCAAATCCAAGTCACTCTCCTATCTCAGTGGTCAAGGCTTCCACTGGCCTTCCTTGCCAACTCCAGTCACTAATATTTCTCCCTTCTTTGGACTCCTAGACGGTGGAACAATCAACCAAATAATATAGCCCTTCCCCGACAAATAGTGCTATTCTTTTCTTATTAAAACATAAAAAAAAAATTCACTAAACTCATGGGAAATAAAAGTGTTAAAGTAATAGGGCTGGGGGCATGGCTCCAGTGGTAGAGCCCCTGCTAGCAAGCATAAGGCTCTGAGATCAAGCCTCAGTACTTAAAAAAAAAAGTCATCTTAAAATTGCTGGTAAAATTTACCATGAATTACTACCAAAGTGAAACTTTTCAAAAAGATCATATCAAAAACAAAAAAATTCAGCTACAGGTAAAGTTCATTTGTAGAGTGCATGCTTTTAGTATATGCAATGTCTGTAAGTTCAGTCACTAGCACCAAAAAGAAAAAAAAAAGTTAATTAAAACACAAATGTTGGGTGTGTTGACACATGCTGTAATCCTAGCACTCATAAGGCTGAGGCAGGAAGATGGGGATTCTGAGGTTACCCTGGCCCACACTGTGAAACTGTCTCAAAACTCTAAAATACTAGCTTCATGGGTGGCACATTTCCACAATCCCAGCTATGCAGGAGGCAAAGATGAGAGGATCGCAGTTTGAGGCCAGCCTGGGCAAAAAAGTTAGTGATACTCAATCTTAACAACAAAACAGGCATGCATGGTGGTGCACACATGTGATCCCAGCTATGTGGGAGGCTTAAGTAGGAGGATCATGGTATGAGGCCAGCCCTGAGCAAACAGCACAAGACCTTACCTAGAAAACAGACTGAAAGCAAAAAGGACTGGGGTGTGGCTCAAGTGACAGACTGCTTGCCTAGCAACTGCAAGGCCCTAAGTTCAAAACCCTAGTATTACCCCCCACAAAAAAATCCACAAAATAAAATAAAACCAAATACTCATACTTATTCAGCATAAAACAGACCTAACCTTAAGTCTAGCATGCCTCCTCAGGAATATGACATGTCTACATGCCACATGCGGGAAATGTCATGCACACAGAGATAATGCATGAGTGAAAATCTGGAAACTCCTGATGGCCCATTAATAGAACCAGTTCAAAATATTATGACGCACACACTGAACAGAAGATCAAGAAGCTGATGAAAAGAATGAGTTTGGTATTTTATGTACTGATATGAAATGACCTCTTAAGACACTGCCCAATGACAAATGCAAGACAGACAAATGGTATGTATAATCTGTGTTCTTTGTGCTTTCCTTTTTTTAAAAGGAGGGAAAAAATATATATATATCTGCATGTGTATTTAAAGAATATATGTGGACAAAGCACAAGAGCAAGGGTGTGGGGGGAGGGGGAAGATGACCTAAACAATGTATGCACATATGAATAAATGAATAAATAAACCAAAAAAAAAAAAAAAGCCCAAGTGCAAGGCCCTGAGTTCAAACCCCAGTAAAGAAAAAGAAAGCAAAAAGAATATATGTGGAAAGTTACATAAGAAATAGGTAACAGTCACTTCTGAGAAAAGAAACTAGGTGTGAGAAGAAGGAGTAGAAGAGATCTTCATCTTGAGCCTTCTTTGGATCTTTTCAGTATTATACCATATGACAACTAAAACAAGCAAACTAACTCTTTAAAAAAGTTTTGTATCTAAAAAAATCAAATTTCAATAAAGTCAAGAAGATAAACCAACATACCTTTTCCTTTCCACTTAACCTTTGCAACAGACTGGCTAAAATCCACGTGTATTCTTCTATCATCTATAAGTACATTGTCCATTTTGAAGAATGCTTTCTCACAATCTTCTTCCTGATAGTAATTATGAAGACTCAAGCATAAATATGTATGGAAAAGATCTCTATAGCTAAAACAAATATTGAAAATACAAAGTCTACTGTTACAAAATATATTTGAATACTTTTTATACAGAAGATATCATTAATGAAATGTACCTATTATCTCAATTAATCCTGGTAACAACGCTATGAAGTACTATCATTACATCCATTTTCTCAGTAGCCAAAGATCACAAAGTTGGCAAGGATCAGAGCCAGGATAGTTTTTTTTGTTTTTTTTTTTTTGATGGCATGAAGGGTTGAACTTAGGGCCTCACAGCTGCTGGGTGGGCACTCTACCACTTGAGCTACACCTCCAGTGCTTTTTGTTCCAGTTATTTTTGATATGGGTCTCACTTTATGCCCAGCCAGCCTGGACTGATGTCCTATTTTTCACCAATTAGCTGTGATGACAGGCGAGTACCACCATGTCCAGCCATTGGTTGAGGTGGGGTCTTGTGAACCACTCCCCCACTCCTCACACTCAAACATGTGCCTCCCAACATATGCCTCCCAAGTGCCTTAAGCCACTGCACCTGGCAGAGCCTGGGTTTTTAATTGAGGCAGTCTGATTGCAGTGGACATATATGCACTTACCAATTGTGTTGTGTACAGTTGTATTATACTACAATCTTTTTTACCCAAAATTCAAAAATAGGGTTAAGTAGATAAGAGTGCCTGCCTAGTAAGCATCGGGCCCTGAGTTCAAACCCCAGTGCAAAAAAAAAAAAAAAGTGAAATTTATTTCTTAAATCTGGTGTTAGAAGCAATTTGGCAGGGACTAGGGATAGAGTTCAGTGGTAGATATGTACTAAGCATACACACAAAGCCCTAGGGAAATCCCCAGAACAAAAGCAAAAACAATCCCCCACTCTCCCCTCAACAATGGCTGCCCTAATGGGAGGCTACTGGCTGCCTTCTTAAAATCCAATTAGTATGAATATTCATTTTCACTAAAGAAACATTTTTGTAATTAATTACAGAATGCTGGCCCAGCAGGGTATTACATACTCCACAGATGTAATGTGACTGTGTATCTATATACACAGTACACCTTTCTAAATTCTAAATTAAAAAACATAGCTATAGGGCCTGTGACACCAAGATCTGTACTACACAAGAAGCTTTCCTATTGGTAACTTCACAAATTTCAAAACTCTGTTTCTGACATCTGAAGACTACAGTAATACATTTCAACCTGGAACCAATCAATTTTCTTCTATATTCCTGGAAATTTATTCTTCAGTCTGTTTATAATTGCTAGAGACAATTCAAAGAGAAGCATGTAAAAAACTAATTATAGCCATTTTTATATACAATGTATATCAAGAATTAAATGGATAGGTGGGTGCCAGTAGCTCACCCTGTAATCCTAGCTACTCAGTAGGCAGAGATCAGAAAGATAGCAGTTCAAAGCCAGCCTGGGCAAATAGTTCACAAGACCCTATCTCTAAAATAACCAAAACAAAAAAGGGCTGGTGGAGTGGCTCATATGGTAGAGTGCCTGCCTAGCACGTGTGAACCCCTGAGATGAAACCCCAGTACCGCATCCCACCAAAAAAGAATTAAATGGATCATAAATTCTATGAAGACATAAACAAAGCTTTACTGCTCTTTCTAGCTACATCTTTTAGAACATCATCTAGCACAAGATACACAAACAATTTTAAGTTTGATAAACCTGATTTTTACACCTGGGCAGGTATAATTCCATCACTCTGCCATTTTCCCAAGGAAAAAGTTCTCAGTTCATTTTTATAGGTACCGTTTACAAATACTCAGTTTACTTATACCTAAACAATAATTGAGATTGATTCAAAAATATGTATGGAAATGCAAAAGACAAAAATACCCAAGACAGTTTTTAAGAATAACAAAGTTAGGGAACTCACATTATAAGATATCAAGACATTATAAACCTATTAAAACAATATAACAGTGGTACAAGAATAGACAAACTGTACCTGTGCAATTGTTCAGCAACCAGAATCATATTTTACACATACATGCATGCCTGATTTATAACAAAGGGGGTCCTGCAGAGCTGTAGGACTAAGACAAACTTTTTACTAAATGGTACTGGGTCACTTGGCTATCCAATATAAAAAAATTTAATGTGTAAAAATACATGTAACATGCAATCAAATCACAGATCCAAATAGGAAATAATCTCACAACAGTTTCTAAAAATAACACAGGAAAATATCTTCATGATTTTGGAGTAGGCAAAGACTTTTTTAAACAGGCCATATAAAAGAAGAAAAATATTTAAAAATTAAACTAAATTAAAATTAGAAATTTCTATTTATCAAAAGACAATACACATGACTGAATAGATTAAAAATCAATATCCAATCAGGTGCTATCAAAGAGAAACTGAACTCACTGGCAAAGACACATAGATTCAAAGTGAAAGGATGGAAAACAATATTCTAAGCAAATAAATTCAAAAGCAAGCAGGAGTAGCTATACGTTTATCTGACAAAGCAGACTTCAAATCAAAATTACTCAGGATAAAGAAGGCCATTATTTACTAATAAAAGCAACAATCCATCAAGAAGATATAATTACAAACATTTATGTGCCAAATGTTAGTGTACCCAAGAACACTACTAGACATAAAGGAACAGATAGGTCCAGATATTATAATAGTGGGTGACTTCAAAATCCCACTCTCATTAATAGATCATCTAGACTAAAAAAACCCAAACAAAGGAACAAATATCAGATGGACAGAATATTCAACCCAACAGCTGCAAAATATACTCCCCTTCTTAGAAGCCCATGGAACTTTGTCCAAAATAAACCATATTTTAAGTCACAAAACAAGTCTTAACAAATACAAAAAAATAATAATTTTCTTGTATTTTATCAGGTCATAATGGGATAAAATTAGAAATCAATATCGACAAATAACAGAAAACATAAGTGCATGGAGAGTGAGCTATGTACTTTTGAATGAAGTACACGGCAGAAATCAGGAGGAAATTTAAAAATTTCTAGAACCAAGTGAAAATGAAAACACAAGTTACAACCAGGCACAATGGCTCATGCCCAGAATCCTAGCTACTTGGGAGGCAGAGGCTAGGGAGGATCCTGGTTCCAGGTCACCTGAACAAAAAGTTCACAAGACCCCATTCTCAACCAAAAATGAAAGAGATGGGAGTAATGGTAGGCACCTGTCAGCCCAGCTACATGGGAAGCATTAATAGGAGGATCACAGTCCACATCAGCCAGGCATAAATGCAAGACCATATTTCAAAAACAACCAAAGTACCAGGTGTCAATGGCTCACACCTGTAATCCTAGCTATTGGGAGGCTAAGATGGAACTGAGGTTTGAGGCCAGCCAGGAGAAAGAGTTCTTGAGATCCCAACTCCAAAACAACTAGAGCAAAATGGACTGGTAATGTAGCTCAAGCAGTAGAGTGCCTGCCTGCCTAGCAAGCATAAGGCCCTGAGTTCAAATCCCAGTCCCACCAAAAGTGATAAATAACCAAAGCAAAAAAAAAAAAAGAAAAGAAAATAGAACTTACTCAAACCTTTGAGATGCAGCAAAGACAGGCCTAAAAGCAAAGTTAATAGTTCTGAGTACCTACAATGAAAAATCAGACACAGGGCTGGCAGAGTGGCTCAAGTGGCAGAGTGCCTGCCTAGCAAGCAGGAGGCCCTGAGTTCAAACCCCAGTGCCACCAAAAAAAAAATAAAATAAAATAAATAAATAAGAAGAAGAAAGAAAAAGAAAAACAGAACAATAAGGCAAGAAAAGGGATGCAAATAGGAAAGGAAGAAGCCAAATTATCCTTATTTGTAGATGATATAGAAGAAATGGATAAGTTTCTATATACATATGACCTACCAAAATTGAACCAAGAGGCTACAAAAATTTAAAAAGATCTATAACAAACAATGTCCTACATGAGTATGGCTCAAGTGGTAGAGCATCTGCCTAGCAAGCTCAAGGCCTTGAGTTCAACCCTCCCCAACCCCCCAAATAAAAAACAGGACCTGAAATACTCTATCAGAAAACTCTTAGATCTGATAAACACTTTCAACAAAGTAACAGGATATAAAAATCAACATATAAAAATTAGTAGCTTTTCTATATACCAATAATAGACATGCTGAGAAAGAACTCAAGAAAACAATCCCATTCACATAGTCTTAAAAAAAAAAAGAAAGAAAAAGAAAATAGGCATAAACCTAACCAAGAAGGTAAAAAGGCTTCTACAATGAAAACTATAAAACACTGAAGAAAGAAATTGAACAAGACAATCAAAGATGGACAGACTACCCCACGTTCACAGATAGGTAGAATTAATACTGGGAAAATGGGTTTATTACATATTCAATGCAATCTCCATCCAATTCCAAAGATATTCCTTACAGAACTAGAAAAAAAAATTCTAAAATTCATATGGAAGCCTAAAAGACCCCAAATAGCCAAAGCAATCCTGAGCAAAAAGAGCAACACTGAGCACTGGGGACACTGTTCAAGTGGTAGAGCACCTGCCTTGCAAGCATGAGGTCCTGAGTTCAAACCCCAATACCACCAAAAGCAAAAACAAAAAAACCTGACTAATAAAAAGAGCAATACTGAAAGCATCACAATTCCAGACTGCAAATTATACCTCAGAGCCACAGTATCAAAACATACAGAGCTGGCACAAAAGGAGACATGTAGACCAATGGAATAGAAGAGAAGACCCAGAAATAAATGCATGGTGCTACAGCCACCTGATTCTTGACAAAGGGACCAAAAACAAAGATTGGAGAAAAGAATCTTTCAACAAATGGTGCTGGGAAAACAAATCTTCCACGTAGAAGACTGATTCTAGATCCCTATCTCTGACGGAGCATAAAAATCAGTTCAAAATGGATCAAAGAAAGGAATGTAAGATATGTGCCAACATGCAGCAAGACATATAGAACTGTTCCTGAATTCAACAATGGGCACCAGCAATAGGGCTTATAGCAGCCAGGTGGTGCGGGGAATGAGGGTGTCCGTGGCCTCGGCCACTTAGAGCCAGCCAGTGAGTGGCTGCCATGGGGCCAGCTATAGGTGTCACAGGTTGGATATGACTAGTTTTGTAGTAGCATTTAAGTTGTTTCGATCCAATTTTCACAGGCAGCCAATAAGCAGTGAAGAGACAAATTTATAACTCTAGAGGAAGCTGTGGGACCCATTTTGCATGATGAGTTAGGAAATCTGTATTAAAAAAATTACCTCTTCAAAAAACAAAAAGAAGAAGAAAGTGATGTAAGATGTGAAACTTTTAAACTACTACAAGAAAACATAGACAAAACACTTGACAATACAGGCACAGGAACGCCTTTCTAAATAGGATTCCAGTAACTCAGGAAATAAGAAATTACAAATAGGATTGCATCAAATTCAAAAGCTTATGCACAGCAAAGGAAACAATTCCCAGAAAGAAAAGACAGCTGCTGACAGAATGAGAGAAAAGTTTTATCAGTTCCCCTCAACAGGGGATTAATGTCCAGAATATATAAAGAACTCAAAATAACCTAATCAACATTTGAGCAAATGAACTGGACAGTTCTCAAAAGAAGTACAAATGGCCAATAAATACATTAAAAAGTTCAGCATCTTTAACAATCAGCAAAATGCAAATCAAAACTACAAGATAAGATTCCATCTCATCCTAGAATGAGACATCAAGACAGCCAGATGTAGTGGACAATTCCGGCTACTCAGGAAACAAGAGGATCACGGTTCAAATCCAGACCAGACAGAAAGTTACCGAGATCCTATCTCAACAAACAAGCCAGGTAAGGTGGTGCACTCCTGAGACCCCAGGTACACAGATGAAGGAAAAAGGATCATGGTCCAAGGCTAGCCAAGGCAAAAGTCAGAGACCCTATGTAAAGGACAAAACTGAAGTAAAAAGGGCTAGGGGGTGTGGTTCACAAGGTAGAGCACTTACAGCCCAGAGTACCACCAAAAAAACCCAGAAAACAAAAAACAAATAAATGTTGGCTGGGTGCTGGTGCATCATACTTGTAATTCTAGCTACTTGGGAACCTGTGATCTGGAGGATCATAGTTCAAGGCCAGCCTGAGCAAATAATTTATGAAGACTCCCTCCCTCCAAAATAAACAGCAGATGTGGCTCAAGTGGTAGAGTGCCTGCTTTGCAAGCGTGAAGCCCTGAGTTCAAACTCCAAGCCCACCATAAAAGTAAAATAAAATAAAACAAACACAAAAAAATAAAGGTGAAACATGTCAAAACAAACAGAAGAACCTCAAAACAGCCAAGCATGTACGATGACATGCACCTGTAGTTTATAGCTACTCAGGAAGCTAAGGAGGAGAATCACTAATTTGAGACCAGCCTGGGCAGTGCAGCAAAGCCCGATCTCCAACAACGAAAGTAAATAAATTAAAATAAAATAAACACCAAACCTAACATATCTGTACTATGACATTTATAACATACCTTTTCAAATTCAATAAAAGCATAACAGAGGGACTCTCCTGTTTTCCAATCCCGAATAACTTCACAACTGAAAGAAAATTTTGAAAAATGACATAAAAAAACCATACATTCTCTTCAAAATGGAAAAGTAAAATAAGCCAGTCATTAGAAGGTAAAATTAAACTCAGAACTGTAGTTTCCAAATTTCTTCAAAAATAATTCTTTTCAAAATATAATTCATAAATCCAGTAACTAAATTACCTAAATTCTACTCTAAATGGCCTATCTAGACCCATAGTCCTATATTCCCTAAATGCTGAAAAAGACTAGAATAAAAACATTTAAGTTGGCGGGAGGCATGGCTCAAGTGGAAGAGGGCCTGCCTAGTAAGTGTGAGGCCCTGAGTTTAAACCCTAGTACCATCAAAAAACAAAAGCTGTTAAAAATTTTTTTAAATTTTAATGCATTTCTAGTCCAAATTCAGATGAGTTATAGAATATCTGCTACTTCAGCCTGATGCCTTTGACTCATGCCTGTAATCCTAGCTATTCCGGAGGCAGAGATCAGGAGGATCACAGTTCAAAGTCAGCCCAGGCAAATAGCTTGTGAGACCCTATCTGAAGAAACCCATCACTCCACTGGTGGAGTGGCTCAATGTATAGGTGCTGAGTTCAAACTCCAGTGCTGGAAAAAAAATTCTGCTATTTTAGAATAATGTATGCATATTCATAAATGTCTACCCTTTGGAATCTAATATAAATGAAGCTCAAGTTTAACAATGTAAGTTCTAATACACAGAAGTCATCTACCACAGAAATAATCAACTGAAAGGGCCAGTAAGCTACAGCTGAAAGCACCTGGCTTATCTCTTTCCCCATGTATCTTTAAGTCTCATTTTTAAAAACATGAAGCTGACTGGGCACCTGTAACCCTAGCTACTCAGGAGGATAAGGTTCAAAGTTAGCCTGAACAAATAGTTCGAGAGACTCTATCTCAAAAATACCCAACACAAGAAAGTGCTGGCAGAGTGGCTCAAGTGATATAGCATCTGCCAGACAAACATGAGGCCCTGAGTTCAAATTCTAATACCCCCCTAAAAAATAGTAATAATTCATTTGTGTATGTATAAACACACTTTCCTTCCCTACTGTCCAAACACTAACTCATAAAAATTCACCTGTGAAAGGTCACCCAACGCTGATAGATACACCAAAAAAAAATGTCATTAGAAAAACCACATACTAATACATAGATATTCCTAATTTCTTTTCACTGCTTCTATGGATTACCTTCTTATTGGCCCAAATCTTGAGAATATAATTTCCAGATCCTCATCTGTGGTCACTGGATTCAATTTACACACAAACAGTACATTTTCTGGAGGTTTAATATCTGCATCAGGTAGGTCTCCCACCTAAATTATAAATAAACAAGAATACAAATAAATTCTTTTATTTAGTTTCCATTTTACATACTTTATCCAAGCCCACAACACTGACTTCCCTAAAAAAATCTCAATTTATGTCATAAACTATAGGCTAGGGAAAGAAATCTAAGACTTCAAAATTTAAAACTATACTTTTCCTGGTATTAATATTAATAGTTAATATTTGCCCAACTCATACTTAGTGTGAGTACTGTAGGAGGTGCTTCAAATACATTATTAATACTTAAAACAATCCTGCAGTTGCCTTTTTTTTCCCCCAGGAGTAAAGTGAGAGAGTTTATTGAGATAGAAAAGTATAAAGTGGGAGAGCAGAGCCCCCTGAGTTTGGGGGAGGGTCCCAAAAGAGGGTGCCCCAATTTTAATTTTAAAGGTAAGTCAAGTGAAATTCAAAAGGGACAAGCAAGTAACTTGCCCAAAGCCACACAGTAGTAAACACCAGAGTGGAGACTTGAACCTGGATGTATCTGGCTTCGAAGTCCCAAACGTATTCCTGCTTTTCCTTTTCTCTAGTATTTGATAGCTTTTTAAGAGGAGAAGAATCCATGTAAAGTATCTCTAAGTTATAAAGCATAAAAAGAAAAACCACCCATGATGTCACCACTCAGAGCAGAAACTAATACACCCCCTGGACCCACTACTTCTCTCATCAGATGTCAAGAATGTCTAACTTTTGATTTTCCTTTTTGCCTATTGCCTTGGACAGTTTTAGTTTTACCATATACATATGCAGCCCTAAATTATTTAGTTTTGCTTGTTTCTGAACTTTGGAAAAATATGAGCGTATTGAATTTAGCCTTCTCTCATTTGTAATGCCAATTCTTTCTACATTGTTGTTCAATGTGGAATTGTAGCAATTCCTAAATAGTGTTTCTAGGTTTTTTCTCTTTCTTTTATTTTTGTTTTTTTAAGACAGGGTCTCACTATATAACCCAGGCTGGCCTAGAACTCGAAATCCTCTTGTCTTCATTTCCCAAGTGCTGGGATTAGAGACATGCACCACCACATAAGCTTAGATTTTTTTTTTAAACTCTCAAACTTTGGCCTTCTACGTCAGCCAGACTCCAGTCACTTCA